AGGGGCAGAAGAGTGTGGAGGGGAGGGGGCTGGAGGAGTAGGGGAGTGGAAGGGAGGGGCAGGAGGGCAAAGAGGGGAGGGGCAGAGGGCTGGAGGAGTAGGGGAGGGCAGGGGCAGGAAGGCGTGGAGGGGAGGGGAAGAGGGCTGGAGGGGGAGAGGAGGGCAGGAGGGCGTGGAGGGGAGGGGCAGGGGCTGGAGGAGGAGGGGAGGGGCAGGGGAGCAGGAGGGCGTGGAGGGGAGGCAGGGGGCTGGAGGAGAAGGGGAGGGGCAGGGGGCAGGAGGGCGTGGAGGGGAGGGCAGGAGGCTGTGGAGGGGAGGGGCAGGGGGCTGGGGGAGTAGGGGAATGGAGGGAGGCACAGGAGGAGTAGGGCATGTGCAGTGGAGTGGTGCAGGAGAGGGCAGGGCATGGGGAGCACAGGAGGAGAGAGGCCACTGATTGCTAAAGCAGGACGCATTGTCCAAGGTGTCTCTGTGCCCAGGCAGAGTGCCCTGCCCTATACCATGCTCCAGGGGCTGGCCTGAGCATGGGGCCAGGGTAGGGGGTGGGAGATGCAGGCTGCCACTCAGGGCCCTGCCATGGCCTGTGAGATTTGGGTGGCTCGGTGGCAGCCCATGGCCTGGCTCTGCGTCTTCCTACAGGGCAAGTGCGCTTGGCAGTGGCCCAGCAGTTCATTAGCTTCTGCCTCTGACTCCACCAGTGTGTCTAACATGAGTGAGCCACTTCCCGCAGGGGGAGACACTAGGGGACCAAGTAGGGGCTCCTTGCTGGACCCAGAGGCCTCTGCCAGGACTGGTGCACCCGGGCAGGCTGGTACATAGGCAGCCAGAGCATACGTGAGTGGGCAGGGCCACAGGTAAGACACGTGTCACCCTGTGGATACGTATACAGGCCAGGAGGCTCTGGGTGTGAATGTTCCTGCACTGGGTGTATGTGCACCCACATGTGCATTAGCCTGGCTCAGGGTGGAGGGGGGCTATATGACTAGCTAGAGCATGGCTCTGTGCTGTGTGTATCTCTCTGGGCTTTGTGTGTGTGCGTTGCTGCATGTCTGTGTGCTATGGCCATTTGCGTGTCTCTGCTGCGTGTGGAGGTAATGCCCCCACACCCTGCGGGGTTCAGTCCCCACCACAGGGTCCCCAGCCCTTAGGGGGAAGCATATCCGTTTCCTAGACCACACACTCTCTTCCCTGCCCTGCAGCCAGACTCCTCTCCCCTGCCCAAGCCTGCCATGGAAGCTGAGCTGCCTGTCCCGGAGCCCCGGGTAGGGTGGCTGGTCTGGACTGTGTGACCGAGGGCCCCGGCCAGGAGCGGCGCCAGGGTTTTTGCCGCCCTAGGCGGCAGCTGTCCTCCTCTGAGCATTCGGCGGCGGGGGTCCTTCTGCTCCACGTCTTCAGGGCACTTCGGCGGTGGGTCCTGGAGCGAGTGAAGGACCCGCCGCTGAATTTCTGCCGAAGACCCGTAGCGGAAGGACCCCCCCCCGGCGCTGAATTTCCACCAAGGACAGCAAAATGCCGCCCCCCAAATCCTGCTGCCCTAGGCGACCGCCTAGGATCGCCTAGTGGAAGCGCCGGCCCTGACCCTGGCAGTGGCACTGGCCTGCAGGAGGTGCCCTCTCTAGTCCCTCCCATGGTTGGGGGAGGTGGGATCCATGCCCCTGCTGCCTGCTGGAGCCTCTCCCCTGGCAGTAGGAGGCAACGTCCCATTCCCCACGGTGGGCCCAGCTATGTGACCCAGTCAAGCAGAGTGCCCCATCTGCTTACATCTCAGCAGGGATGTTTTATAGGGCAAATGTAGCCCAGACAAGGGTGCTGGATTGGCTCCTGGCTCTGAGCTGGGCAGCTCTGGTCTCACCCCACATACACACGGGACCTAGGGAAGGAGCAGGGTCTCAGCTCCACCGCGTGGTGCATTGATCCAGGAGGGTGGACGCGCCCAGCTCCTCCTCTCCCACTGCCTGGTCCAGGACCAGGTGCTGGGGTCTCCTGGGCAGAGTGGAGGGTGCAGTTCTGGCTTCCTGGGCCAAGGAGCCTGGGCTCCCAAGCCCTGGCCATGCAGCTGGGGGTGGGGAGCAGCCAGTCTGTCCTTAACCTCTCTCTGCAGGGGCGTGCTTGTCCCGTATCCCCTGGATGGGGCGTCCTAGCCCCCGGGCACGTCACTCTCATGCTGCAGTGCGGAGGGGCATGGGGATTGCTTTCTGGCTCGCCCCTCTTTTCTCTGCCCTGCGCCCCAGTTCAGGGAGAGGTTGCTTGGTTACTGACACTGCTCTTCCCAGCTATGCCACAAGGGGGCGCCACATGATGCCATAATGTCCATCGGGCGAAGCAGAGGCCATTCTTCTAGCTCCGGATCTTGCAGTGAGACAAGACAGTTTGTGAGTTTGGGATGGCGCCGGGGTGTGGTGGGGATAACGCCTCTGCCCTGCTGGGCTGGTGCCATCACTACAGCCCTGATCCTGAGCCCATTCATGTGCGGAATGAATTTTGTTATGTGCATCATAGCGAGGTAATGTGCGGATGTGCGCCACCAGTAGAAACCAAAAGCCTAGCTATAATATATATTTTTAAAAAGTTACCATAGGGATAATTACTCCAGCCAGGACAAGTTAGACATTTTAGAACTCACTACTCAAAGAATTAAATTTAAGCATAGAAGAGAAATAAAAATTATGAAATGCATAGACCAGGCAAAACACTAAAACAACACACTTTGAAAGAAGTATCAAGTTACAACAACAATAATACCTCGTGTTGGGAGGTGAGTGTGAAAACAGTGTGTGTGTGAGAGAGAGAGACACATACACGCACACTGTGTATGTGTGACAGAGACACAGTGTGTGTGTGTGACAGAGAAACACAGTGTGTGTGTGACAAAGAGAGACACACACTACCCCTTTAAGTAGATCAGCACTCAGCAGTCTGAAGCCTGCTTGTTCAGACACAGCAACAGCTGCCAGCAAGCTCCCTCCAGAGCCCTGTCGTGCCCCCCCCCCCGTGGAGATGGGGTACAGTGGCGGGGGGAGGGGGACACCCTGACATCAGCACCCCTTTCCCCTGCCCCACTCTGCACAGCAAGCAAGAGGCTCCGGGGAGCAGCTGGCCAGGGGCTTCAAGGCAGAGGGCAGGAGCAGCGAGGCAGTGGGAGGAGGGACACTTGAAGTGCACTGCACTTGATAGCCTACTGGGCGGTCACCCAGCTGCGCAACTTAGAGGGAATTTCCCCACTGTACATTCCCTGCTCCAGATTCTCCCCCCCACAAATGGCTGGTATCTTCCCAAGAGGCATTATTTCCTGCCTGCATGTCTAAGGTCAGCCCCTTTGTCTCACTTCTCTGTCTGCATGGGTTGCTTGCGACTCCTCCAGTCTCAAGGTTGCAAACTTTAGTGAGTTTCTTGGCATATTTCTCAAAGCCCCAGTTCCTGGAATTAGGGGCTTCTATGAGACTCTCATCTTTCATTTAAAAAACAAAGCAAGTTTCCTGCCCTCCTGGCGGCACAGAAAAGATTGAAAACATGACCCCTGAATACTCCAAAGCCAGACAAGAAATGAAAAGAACCCCAAATACAGTATTTTTGAAATCTTGTGATTTCTTTAGCCAATCTCATGATTTGGGGGGATGATCTTTGAATGCATAGGCTGAATCGTGTGATTTTTGAATGCATGGGAAGGGCAATCCTGATACTGAGTGTTCTCGGCATGTCATTAGCTCCATCAATAGCGATGGCAAATAAAACCCCTCCCTAATAAATAGATACATCATCCTCCATCCAGAGTGGTGCCTCCCACTTGGCTGGGCACCCTCTTCCCTTCCTGCCTGCTCTAGTGCAAAGCTCCCCCTGGCCTCCCTGAGATGCTTGGGAACCCTGGGCTTGGTGTCTCTCTCTTCCTGCCTCACTAAGGATTCAGCACAGAGCTCTGGAGAAGGTTTATTTACTCATTTCATCTGCGCTGGGCAGGTGCCAGAACACACTCAGCCACTTCAGCTGCATCCCGGCCTCCTGTCAGCAAGGAGCAGAGTGAGAGCTTCACAGTTACTGATCCAACACACTGCCCAACTCTGTGACAAGGGGGTGCCCCTGGGGGCCATCTGGGGTTTGCTCAGCCCTCACAAAGGAACAGAGAGCTGTCCGCGAGATGAATGAGCCTGGCCAGCCCTGTCTCAGGTGCCCCTGCCACCACTGGGCGTGTGGCTGGGCAGAGGTACCCAGTGACAGGCTCTGTGCTGCCTGCTCCCTGAATGCAGGGCTTGTCAGGGCTGACTCCAGAGAAATGGATACACAGGGTTTGGGGAACAAAGGCTGGCCTGAACCCCCACTTAGCCGTGTCCCAGCAGGGCCCAGAAGGGAACGGCAGCTTGGCACATCCCAGTGGAGCTCCCCGAACCAAGTGTGAGCCTGGAATGACCTACCCGTCACCCCAAAGGAACCGGGAGCCTAGAACATCTCAGCAATGACCCTTGGGTGAAGCATGAGTCTAGAACAATCTGCCCATCACCCACAAAGAAAATGTGAGTCTAGAACATTTCCATGATCCCTGAACGAAGCAGGAATATGGAACAACCTGCTCTTTGCCCCCAAAGAGAGTGCAAGTCTAGAACATGTTGGGAACAGCTCAGAACAAAGCAGGAGCCTAGAACAACCTGCCTATCACCCCTGCAGGGTTTGGTAGCCTTCAATGTCTTGGCAACAGCCCCTGAAACATGGGCCTAGAACAACCTGGCAAACCCTGAGCCTTAAAGTTCCCAGAGTGCTCTTTGCAGTGTCACCCACTGAGGCTTGCAGCTAAGGGCACAACTGGACCCACAGTGATTGGTTTTCAGTGGAGATGTAGCTAGGCTGCAGAAATGGGGTAGCAGTGCTGGCTGTGGGGGGAACTCCTAGCTACTCCAGTCCCAGCAGGGGGCACTAGGGGGAGTGGAGCAGGAGTATTGGGCATAGGGCAGTTCAGACAGGATCAGGGGTATCTCCGAGTGAGAGGCACAGGGGTTCTGGCCTGCACTCACCATTAGCATCTCACTGGTCAGGGAGTTCACCAGGTCCGAGACAGACGAGCGAGGCTCCGTTTTGCGGTCAGACTCGTCATGCTGGGTCTGCCCGGGCATAGGGGCTGTGTTCCCCATCTTGCCTCCAGACGGCAACCTTGGGAGAGAGGAGCAGTATGTAAGAGAAGGGGGCAGGCTGCCACATCTGAGCTGTGGGTCAGGCCGTGCCAATGCAGCCCCAGCTGCTCTCCATCATGGCTGTATCCTGATGCCAAGATCCCCCTCAGCATCCCCTGAGACATTCCTGTGTATCCCTCACACCCCTGGATGACTCCTCACCCACCTGGCCCTGAGAGAGTTCTCCTCATACCTCTCACCCATTTGACTCATAACCATGGATCCAGGCATGCCCCTCAGATGGGCACCTGTCCATCTCGTTCGCTATTGCCCTCAGCCTGGTGCTGATCCCATTTGTCCTGGCCTCCGTCTTGCTCTGGCCCTATAGATAGAGGCCCTCATGTCTCCCCAGCCTCCAGTAATTCCCACCCCTTCAATCCGGGCCTGGGCATCACCCACTGGCACTGCAGGCCCTCCTGTCTTGTACTGGGAGAGATGGGGGAGTGGAGGCAGAGCCTAAGCTATTGCTTCTGCTTCTTTCCACTGACACCCTCCCCTGCCTCTCATACCCATTAACCTCTGGGAACACACACGCTCCCTCTCACAAAGAGGCAGCTGCCTTTGTTTGCTTTCTCCGCCAGGCAGGCGCTGGCCTGACAGATGAGTTGTCTGCCAGCCCCGGCACATGCAGAGCACCTGGGGGAACCCGAGTGCCAGGTGCTACAGGACGTCAGCTCTGCAGGCCAGCAGCGATGGGACAAACTCCCCCAGGGCTCGCAGGCCAGCAACATGGCAGCCGCGCTGCAGCTGTGACTCCATGCCAGCCCAGTCCTGGCAGCCCCACTATGGCCTGTAGCCCAGCAGCCAGGTCCTGGCAGCCCCACTATGGCCTGTAACCCACCAGCCAGGTCCTGGCAGCCCCACTATGGCCCGTAACCCACCAGCCAGGCTGTGGCAGGCCCCCGCCCCCCGACTGAC